GAGAGAGAGAGAGAATGCCCTGATGGCTTATCCAGATTAGAAGAGAACAAAATGGAATGAGATCTGCCAAATTGAATAACACGACAGACACAAATTCATTCGTTTATATAAGCCAATGCATCATTGACGTACGTTGTATGACCGTTCCAAGTCGTTGATTAGGAATATAAGGGGAACAGGATCTGAAGGAGTGTTCAAACTTCAAAGCTGTGGGATTCAGGTTGTCGATTCGATAAGGCTGCAACTTTGGGTCGGGTTGGTTGAATTCAATCCGAATTGATGCTCGGGTTAGGGTTGAAATTTATGAATCTGCTTTTATTTTGGGTTGGGTTAGGGTTGATCTTTTGGATAATCCAACCTAATCCAAATCCCACTCTATAGTATATGTTATATACAAATATATATGTTATATATATATATATATATTATATATCATACATTGATTTTTTTAAATGTATGAAAGTTGTATAGCCCTCACTGCATACTATCATGTATTTTTTTTAAGATAATCATTTCACTTAATCCTAAATGAAAATACTAAAACCTTAGTAATGTATTTTATGTTTTTTGAATATTTTATTCTTCATCTCCTCTTTAATCTTTGGCGCCTATAAAAGATCTATCATAAATCATAGTAAATTATAGTCATTTCAAACACTTATTTTTCTGATTTTGTACTAAAAGAACCAATAAAAACATCAACAAACAAATACTAATAAAACATAGGACTAATATATATATATATGGTGAGTTAAGATTTAGATTAAATCGTTTGATGAGATTTTAAGGGATGGGAAGAAGGTTGGGTTGGGTTAGGGTTGAAGGTCGGATTGGGTTAGGGTTAGGGTTGGGGGTTTAGAACTTAGGATTGAGCTAGGATTGGCCTCAACCCGATTTAATCTGGCCCAACTTGCAGATCCAAACTGCCCATCTCATTAGTTTGTTAAAAAATGTGGGAAAACATGGACTATAGCCATGGCTCAGTCATTTTTGACTTCCAAAACTTGAGTTGAGATCTTCTGTCAACAAAACACGTTCCAACCCTCTACCAATTAGATTTAACACCGCACTATCTTATCATGAGGTTGAATCCCACCATAAAAGTGGGATCCGCCCCACACCCCTACAATAAATCTCAACCGTGAGAAACATCACTCATTAATAACTTGAGAGATGTTCCCAATGCACGCTGAGATATACATATGAGGCGTTTGTGGGACACAGATGTGATCTTAGAATCCAAACCCATTTAAACCAGCAAAAAACACCGTCCACTCTTGCTAGTGCCAAGTCAGTACTGAGTATGTAGAAATCCAACTAACAGTTGGACTTTGGTGGGTGGTGGATAACAGGATAAAGCCCAGTAGAGAGCATCATAAGGTTATAATTGTAAACAAATTAGCGTTCCTATTCAGGGCGTTGTGAAGCCTAAATTAAAATACAACAGGCTCATAATCTAATACAAGTTTACATCAAAAGCCATTCAAGAGTTATGATCATCAGACAGGCATGGTTTAACAATATGATATGTCTCCTCTCATATAAGTAAGGTTCTAATACAACATTCATTTCACCTTTGCCAATACATTTGGATGTATCGATACAATCTGGGCACAAAACGTAAGCCATCGGAGGGTCAGTTTTACTGATTCAGATTCTCTGAACCTGATGGTTACACCGTTAAATGACCAAAGCATATGTCATTGACCATGACAAATCCAAAGCTGATCTTCAAAGTATAGAAGACCCTCCAGTATTACAAAATTCAAATTTTGTATGCCTTCCCCCCTCCCCTCTTTCCTTATGTGTGATGTGAGTATATGTTCTTTTTCCTTTTCTTCTTAACCTTTATTTGTTCTTCTTTGGCACTGAATTCAACAGATGAAAAGGTGCAAAAGAAACGGAATCGGATATTTGGAAGATCTCCTGACTCAAATAGAAACTGCACATTTCTTAATAATACTTGCCAAAGGTTTCTGCATAAGCTGACAAGCAGACAACTCAACTACAAGTAGCATACATCTTCCATTTTGTTTCCAATTCAATAATTCAGCTACACAACCCCAAAAACCCAATAATTCAATTGGCCTTCAGATGAACAATAATTCGGTTGCCCTCTATTTTTATTTCTTTTCATAAATGGAGCACCATGCTTCTCCATAAAAGGTTCATTGATGATGTGTGGAATCGCCAACCACCTTACTCTGCAACCCAGAGAGATATTGTGACCAAAACAAACCACCATCCATTAAATGGGAGAGCTAGACCACACAAATCTTATACTTCTTAGTTCAAAACACCCTGTATCATATATTTGGGTATTCAATACACTTATTCATAGGTGTTTTTAAGAATTTATTTTTTAATAAATAATATATAATTGAAAAAACATGTAATTTAAGGTACTGATGCATAAATTTATTGATACTTTTAAGAGAGAATGACGGTTCAGCTCAGGGTCAGAATTCTTAGGTTTAGAATACAGTTGGAGTAGGTGATAACTTGAAATTGATGCCAATTCACGGGAAACGTTGATGTATAAAATAGAGGTATTTGATATTTTGAATATTTATAAATTTAAATTAAAATTCAGAAATCTGTAATAGACCTATCCTTACTTTGCCGTACTTTTTAATCAAGCCATAGCCCATATGCGACATCTTGTACGAGCGACTTTCAAGTATTTATCAACCACATCTAAGCTTGTCCCAATTATACGGTGAATCCTATTTCACCCTTCCATTTAGTTGAGTGTCATATCCTTTAAATTATATCGGCCTTCTTATTATTTCTAAATTCCGCCAAAGCCCTTCGCTTCTCCGGTCCCTTCAACTGCTACACATTTTTTTAGACATTTGTGCGACTTTCACAAGTAATCCAACAGAAAATTGATAAGCAAGGTTCACAATCAGTCGATGCATATCAGTTTTCAAAGCCACAAATATGATAAATACAACAATTTGGGATAAATGACCATGGACCTTTTGAATAACAGTCAAGAAGATAATATGAAAATTGAACGTTTAAAGAAAGATGTAAAACAGATATTGAACATTCTATAAAAGCATTTGGCAATTGATTTACCTAAGAATAAATTTTAATTCCATTGGAATTATTTCATTTTTTTATAAAATCTAAAATGAAAAATGGATTTTGAAATTTCAACACAGTTCATATATTCGAATTAGATCCAAAAAGATAAAAATAGATAGATGTATCTAGGGAATAATTGCTTCAAAGCAAATCCTCGTATGCTAAAGCTTGCAATGTAAAACATTTTTTCTCCCGTGTTACACCCTTTGAATCACATTCTATGCAATTCTTGCGTCTCACAACTTGGAACCTTGACTTAAGTCTCCGTTTGGTTTGGGGGAACTGGGAAGATTTGGGTGGGATGGGTTGAGAAAATATAAAAATTTAACTTTCCATTATTTGGCTTTATAAGAGAAAATAGTAGGAAAAGTGCCCATCACAAAACAGAGTCCACCTTGCATCCCCATTTTTTCCGTCTCGTAGGCATTGTCATGATGAGCAGAGGAAACGAAGCTATGCTTGTTGCATCCATTGCTGCAAAGTGCTGCTTGAAGACCGGACCTCATCATGGCCATCGTCATCATTTCTTTGCCTTCACCATACCTTCTTCCATTGCCACTTCCACCATTTCTGCCTCTGCCACCACTCCCGTTAAACCCATAATCTTGCCACCATACCCACCACTACAACCACATTGGCCATCACCGTAACCATCCCTCCTGCTTCCCTGAAACAAGATCCACTGAGGCTGGTCACCATCGTCCAAGGTAATTGCAATTCGTCAAGACTGGTCACCTAAAATAAGATCCCTGAAACACGGATCAAAATTCCGTCACATATCGGTCCGTATCAGTAGATACATATTGTATCGTGCCCTTCCCAATATGCCCCTACAGGGGGTGTATCGGGCCAGGCCATTGTTCAGAGGGTAGCCAGGGCTTAAACCAACCCCTCTAATCCGATTTTGAAAAAAATAAATAAAACACAAAAAAAAGCATTGATATAGGCCGATACACCCTACAACCTGTATCGATATTTAGAACCTTGCCCTAAAATACCTACATCTTCGACAGTATCAATCATGGATTCAACCTTTTCTCACTCAGCAAAGCTCCAAAGCCCTTCATCCCGCTAAACCATTTCACAAACTCCAGTTGTTTTGGCACTCTCCCGAGCCATGGATTTGATCTTAACTTTGAACGAAATGTCCAAAAAAATCACCAGAGATCCGACCGTTGGGACAGGTAGAGGTTGAACCGTTGAAGAAGAATCTCTCAAAGGCTCTATTTGATAAGGCCCAAGATATTTTCTCAAATTTTCTCACCAAGGTCACACTGTTTTGGTGAGATCCTGATTAGACAATTTTGGGATCCTGCATCCCACGTTTTTCTCATCCCATCCCCTTATTTCCCTCAAAACAAACAGAGCCTAAAGACTATACAAAGGAACAGTGTTGCAACTTTAAATCCTGATAATGAATTAATGGCAAAGTAGGAAACGGTCTGATTATGGCCTTATGGGCAAAGTTCAAAGTATTGATACGTATCAGCCTGTATCGATCGATACGTATCATGCCAGTGGCTTGTTCTGACTGATTCACAGGGTGGAGGAGCCTTAAACCAGCCCCCCGGTTTTAAAAAAAAAAAAAAGCAAAAAACACTCTATATCGCCCGATAGCCCCTACCAGTGTATCGGGCGTATTGATATTTTGAACCTTGCTTATGGGTACCTCACGCTTCTACAACTCCTATGGATACTGCATGAAGTGGATATCATACTAAATTCTTGTAAAAGCACAAGGCTATATTAACAAAAAAAAAGGAAAAAAAAAATTAGTGACAACGACCACTAATACCTCGGCTAGTATTCCTCGTGAATGAATGTCGCCCAACTGTGCTCCCTTAGTCCTGAATGATCAACCAAATTAAATTACAGAAGCGATGACAATTGACAGAAACAAGCATGCATTCTCACACAAACGCATGGAAGCCCCTCATAGTTAAAGCTCATTGGCTCAATAGTCTAGATAATAAAACAAATTATTTTTCTGTAAATTTCGGGCACCCACCACAAGGAGAAAGTAGACAATGCAGCTACTAAATGAAAATTGGGTTAGGGTGTTGTATCAACCAGGTTCTTGCAAAATGAATAAGCTCTAATTGGAAACTTGTGGATGGTAGATCTCCTGTATTCTATTTGCTGAATAGCTAACAGCCTAATACTTGGTTCCACCCAGCTTAAGCGGCAACTTCAGTACAACTATTACAAATAGGCAAAGCCTTCAAATCCAGAACAAGGCACAAGGTCAAATCTTCAGGACAATAAATTCAAATAGTTTCTTTCCAGGTTGGGCTGAATAGGAAGTTGATGAATGTGCTGAAAATTGGCAAATTAGGATCAATCCATTACAAGTGTGTGCAAGCAAATGAGGAAATGCTTGAGACAACCTCTTGGGTCTATAACAATGTAGGACATTGAGAAAAACTAGGATAATTAAAATAATTGTGATTAGAACAAATCCAATTTTTGATAGGGGGCATACCCCTGTGAAAAGAACGGAAGTGATGCTTTGAAAAGACAGGCAGGCACTCCTATGCACCTGTGTACTTTAATGGGAGTACTTGTTTGTCTTTTCATAAGGGATGTGCCCCCTTTATGCAGAACCTCATTTAGAATTTAGAAAAACTGAAAATGCACAACCTCAGAAATCAACCAGTCCACTTCTGCAAAACTCTCCAGTATCTCAAACAAGACGGATTCAAATGAATTGCCCGGAGAAGCCACTTCTGCGAACTTTGAAAAGACTCCACGTAAGAAGAGTCAGAAATAGAGTCGGCCTGTCTTGCAAGCACATGCATCTGAAAATACACTTCAGCTGGCCTCGTCTCTGCAGGACAAAAGAAACAAAAATTAAGCAGAGAAGAATCACAAACAATGTGAAAAACAAGTAGCATTTAATATGGCATCGCATTTAATATGGCATCAAATACAGAACTTCATTTTTGTGCAGAATAATACATGCTTCTCACTGTCATCCACCAACCTTGGCCAATATAAAAGCAACACCAATCAAATGAACCCAACTGTCCCAAAAAATCACCACCATTCAGATGGTAGAAAAAGAGACAAGCAACTTGGATATTAGCATCACCAAGTACATAGAGATTTAGGGCCATTGAAAAATCTAAAGCATCATGAAAAGCAACCCTTCCAGATAACTAGAATATACATAGGTGAAATAAATTTATACCTGGTGGCCAAGAAAACCATTCAAGACGGAGGTTTTTTTCCCACTTTGCTCTGGAACCAAGGCTTGCCTCTGCTTGAGCCAGCAATGTTGAAACAATAGGTAATGGAATGATAGAGGCCTCTTGAGCCTTGGTGAGACTGCCCACTGCAAGCGATAAGAATTGAGAGCCACACTGCTGCCTAGCAAGCTCCATACAGATAGCACCTATCAAAACACACAACTAAATTAGTAAGCTAGTGTAAGAGTGAAGTAATATATATGGAAAAATCTTGTTGCTGGAAAGGCATGATACTGTAAGAATTTTGACCAATCAAATACATGATTATTTACCACTTTTATGGTACAGGTTGATTGGTTACTAGTTCTTATAGTATCATAGTCGAACCATAGTAAGAACTATCTTCAGGCTCAAAGAGCAGCATATACAAACATATTATTCCTTTGGGTCTTAGAAGACTTCAAATGTCACTGGCATTTTCAGAGAATAACTACTAAAGGTTAAGAAGTTGAAATTTCATTAGCCTTTGGTTTAAACACCCCAGAAAGAAACTACAATGCAAAAGCACTGAACCAAACAACCAAATGAACAAGTACTGATATATAGATACCATGACAGAGAAATAGGCAACTTTCAGCACCCGCCAATGAACAAGCATGTGCAAGAGCCTCCTCAGCAGAAATATAATCATGACCCCATATGGAACTCTGACCCTGCAGTAAATTAAAGATGGCCATCCATTTATCCCATGAACTCCTGTTTTCCTTCAAGCTTTCCTCAAAATTCAACTCTATCTTGTTAACATCAATTTGTAGTTTATGTCTAGATTCAATTAACTTGAGGCATATCCAACCAATTTCATGGTTTGTCTTAAGTTGCAAGCATTTCAAATACTCTTTGTGCATGTTTGGAAAGTCCCCCTGTAGTGCATAGGCACGGCATAAGAGCAAATGTGCAAAGAAGAGATTGCCATCAGGAACCAGAAGCTTTGATGCATTTGTAGCATGATTTATACAGTCAATGTGGTCCCCACTTTGCAAACTGATCTCAGAAGCACATAGTAAGATCTGAAACTTTTGATAAATATGAGAAGCATCTTTCTTCAAGTATTGTTCTTCATTAAAGAGAGCAGACAATACTAGCCGCTTTAGTGTAATACATAGATGCCAAGGAAATCTCTCCTTACGAGCTTTCTGAAGAACGTTAAGTAGAAGCAAGTACCTGGCATTATGGTTCCATGGTTCTTGATGCAACCATCTGCCCATGCAAAGTAAAGAAAAAATAATTTAAGATGTAAACGCCCAGAACAATAGCCTAGAATGAAGCCACAAATCTCAGTGTAGGAGTTGTTCATCATTTGGCAGAATGTTATTTCATTTGTTGGTTCTATATCACAATAGGCATGAATTACAAAGACAGAATTTAAAAGAAAAACAAAAAAAGCATTCATATGCACAGATCCCATAAACTAATGAACAATACAATATTCTAATACCCGGTAAGAAGAAAAAAGTGGATTGAAAAATCTTGGAAATTATCTTGACATTGAGAGAACAGAGAGGAGGGAATGTGAGAGCCTTGTAAGAAAACTATAATATACCTCTGCATTTTTTGCAGTGCTCGTGCTCCATCCATGCACTGATCCTTACACGTATGGAAAGAGAACCTCTGGTCGGTAGTGCTACTGGCATAGCATGCAACAGCTGCAGCACCTAAAATCCCATATCCTGATTTTGAACCTCTCACAGCTGGACAATCAGGAGGATTAATGATGGAACACCTGGTTGCAATGTGAATATCTTTCCATTCTTTACTGGACAGTAAAAGATGCCCAAGTTGGTTCCTGGCAGCAGCAATTACCACTCAAAACAAATCAAAAAGAAGAGTATTTAACAACTAAAGTATAAAAAAACAGGTCTTTTGAAAAGCTCAACAACGACATCCAAAATTGTTGTACATCCAAAAAAAGGTCTTTCCATTCTTTACTGAACAGTAAAAGATGCCCAAGTTGGTTCCTGGCAGCAGCAATTACCACTCAAAACAGTTGGTACATCCAAAATTGTTAAATAAAAAAGTTCTGAAAAGCTCGACAACCAGTTGGTACATCCAAAATTGTTGTGAGAGGCAAACCAATATCTTGGAAATTCAACCAAACCCACTTTCACAATGCATTTTGGTATTTCCTTTTGATTTTGGTCGACAATAAGCTTTCAGAACAGGTTTGCCATGTTCTTTTCTCTGGTGTATAAAAGAGCTAAGTGTATTTAGTATTTACTTGAGATAGAAAGACGGAGCCAATCTGCCAGTAACCCATATGGTGAAGGTAGGCGTGGTTTGGAAAGGACTAAATGTTTACCCTCAAAAATTTCATAATTCATATAAGCTATTGATTCATTTACGGATCTTAGAGAGCTTGATTTGGTTTAGGGACCATGGAGAGGCATAATGGATTTTGGATGAGTTCCTTTTGGAAGTTGTTCTAATTTTTCATCCTTGCTACCTCATTGGTTTGGAGCTTGGCGGATGCCTGGGGTTTGGCTGGAACTCTTGCTTGGTTCAACAGACATTCTCTTCATTAAAATTAAGAGGTATATTTTTCCATTATTATAATACCTTGTTAATTTTGTATATTTGGTCAATCACATGCATATGCATTATTGCTGCCAGATGAAGATTTTTTTTATAATAACAGAAAAAGGTATTTTTATTAAAATAAAAAAACACAAATTACATCCTGGTGTAGAGATTACACCACAAGCCATTACAAAGAACATATGCCAAATAAAAAACATATGCCAGATGAAGATTATCTTGTGAGTATTTGTACAATTAATTACTATCACCTATTCGCCACATGATTTGACCACCAACAGCACCATTTAGAAGAAGTGATTTGTTACACATTGAAGGGGCTATAAGAGCTCGAGGTAGACCAAAAAGTACAATGGGTAGAAGTAGTAAGAAATGATTCAAGCACTAATAGTTTAACAGTGGATATGGTTTTAAATAGAATGGATTAGCGAAACAGAATTCATGTAGCTAATCCCATATAGTTGGGATAAGGCATGGATGATGATGATGACCTATTCACCACCTGGTTTGATGATTTAGGGAAGCTAAGTATCCGGATCATACATTGGAAGTAGAACTCTCCTGAAATGTCTGCTAACTTCTGCATTGATGCCTTAACCTGCGTGGGAAATAGTAGACCATTCTTTGATACAGTAGATTAAAGAGCTATGCTTTTGAAGATTTGGGGGCTTTTCTTGGAAAAGTAAAGGAACAGCAATGGACTAGCTTCAATAGAAATGCTTTACTGTATTATATAGAGACTGTATACTTCTGTAACTGCTGTATACACTGATGCTTGTAAAACTCACCTCACCAGTTACTGATATAAAAAAGTCAAGAGAAATAGCATTCAAAAGAACCACCAATAGTTCAGTGGTTCCACTACTAAACTACTATCAGAAAATGAAACATTTTACGTCAAAAGCAAATCCTTCTAATTACCACATCAGCTTACCTTATCAAACTACTATCAGGATACATGTGAAGAGCTTTTCTGAGGTGATTCACTCCACTCTGAATTACCAAGCTCTCTTCTGATCCATGTCTAACCTATAAAAAATAACAAAATGTATTCACTTGTACCAAATTCTCCAAAAGCCAATTCAAGATTGAAATCTCAAGAAATAACTAGGAATGAAAAACTTACTAGTTTGCTTATGGCAATTAGAGAATGCATTCCAGTAATCTCTTCATAAGATTTAAGAACATGACGAGTACTTGGAATAAGCGACTCAAGCCGTTTGCTATGATCCAGAGCATTAATTGCAGAGACAATAAAACTTATCTTTGAGCTCTGCAATAATTCCTTGGGCATTTTCATGATGCTTGTTATTGCAGATACCTGCCCAGAAATGTGGTACAGCAATTTACAGATCAAACTTATAGAGACTACACCAGATGTTCGCTCCATTGTGGGAATACTTGCTGCTAGATTTCTTGACACAGAGAGGGCCAGATCATTCTTTCTAAGCTTCCACAAGGAGATAGCATATATTTGTAAGACCCTGCTATCAAGCATACCTAGGATGTTGACAAATATGTAGACTCATCAGTAGAATGAAATATGAAGCAATCATGTATGACTCATTGGCTCTGCTCCAAAAGTATTGTCATAAGATAGAACAAGAGAAAAACAGATACATTCATATACTTGAATAGCTTCCATACTGTAAATATTAGTATTACTTTTATTAAAAATATAAATAAATTTCACTCACCTTCATCTATGACAATTTTCATCTTAAAAACAGAAATGGACCAAATTATCTGACTCAGAAAATACGGGGCAGTTGAATCAGTGATCCAGTGACTTTTCTAGGCTCCAGTTAAATGACAGTTCATACAGTTTGAATGGGATAAGCAGCTTGTTAACTGATAAAACCATGACCCAGTGAGCATTCCAGTTTCTATAAAACCTAAATGGGAACTTCTTTCTAAACTACAAACCCAGACTGACTAATGCAATTTAGGCAAGCAAGCATCTAGAAGTATAGTCCAAAAAAACATAGAACTGCCGAAAGAATGTGCAAGGTACAATTATAGTCAATGGCCCATACCTTCTTTCTTCAAAAATTCACATTCTTGTGCTGCATCAAGGGCATTACCTGCCTGGACCAACCAGAAGAATTCATAAACAGGTCAATTGATAAACTGAAATGATTATCACAAAATTCACAACAACTTAACTCTAAGATAAATATGCTTCCTTTTTGTGTAGACAAATAAGGGGAAGACAGATAAGCCAGCAAGAAGCCACCACTGGCAGCATTTCGAGTACAAAGATCCCACTTATGCAAATTGATGTTAAGGCAAGTTTTGATCCAAGCACAGTTCAAAGTATTGATACACCCAATACACACGAACATGCGTATAGATGTTTTGATTGCTTATAACTTCTTTTCAGTTTTTTTCTCAAAAACAAATGACTCAGGGGGTCAGTCTTAGGCCTGCCTACCCCATGAAAACACTCAAAACTGCAATGGCATTTTATTTCTCATATCGGGGCATATTGTATCAAAATTTTGAACCAAGCAAAGATCTTACCATCCGTGTTAGCTGGCTCGTTCAATTTAACTACGTTTCCTTGACAACGTAGAAAAACAAAAGAAAGAGAACTTTGGAAGAATCCGTTTACCTGACAAAGCGACCTGGCCAGATTAATTGATACATCATAAAAATGGGACTTAGGTGCACTGATTGCTAAAGTGCTGATGGCGCATTGTGCTAGCTTATAAGCAGAAATTGCAGACTCGTAATCAGACCGTGCCTCACAAATCAGCCCATTCAAATTATGGGCCTCGGGACAGTGAGGTGCATGCTGCACAGCCTGTTGGATGGCTGCAAAAACCTGTAACAGTAATTACCCGTATGCTTTTATTGAAAACTCCTAAAATATCCACATATAAACATATCTCATACTGACAGATCATATATCCCCCCAAAAGGAAAAGCAGGTAGGTTTTAGTTTCAACACGACCAATTTTAGACTGGATCTTAAGCATGTAGCTATACCTGTGAAGATACAAGTTGGCCTGAATCAAAAGCAAGCTTTCCAAGACCAATTTGAAATTCTGCAAGCTACTAGAAAACAAATTTGTAAGTACATTATGGAACACTAAAACAGAAAGCAACATAAGCTATACAACTACATGCACTATGCAGCACTCTATCAGGATTCATTTAACAACTCTTTTAAAACTTGCTTTATTAACATGGTAGAAATATAGTATTATACTGCAATAGAAATAAATATTAGAGAAACATAGTTCTCTGTTTTATGATTGAACCTTGGTCAACAATCTTACCCATTTATTTCCTTTTAGTGTTCAAAATCCCAGTAAAGGTTGCTAACAGACTAGAAAATATGGTGAGAGACTTCCTTTGAGAGCCGAGAGAGGAAAAGAGGGGCCATAGGGTAAGCTGGAAGGTGGTGACCAGGAGCAAAAACAGTGGTGGATTAGGGGTTGGGAACATTAGAAAAAGGAATTTGGCCCTTTTGGCGAAATGGTTGTGGAGATTCCCACTAGAGAAGGAGAAATTATGGGCTAAAATAGTGGCAAGCATACATGGGTTGGAGCTAAATGGATGGGATGTTGGACTCCAGGCTAGGACCACAAGCGTTCCGCCTTGGAAAGCCATTCATGATCTATTACCAGTTTTCTCCCCTCTTATCAGGTATCAATTGAATTCAGGTAACTCCATAAAATTCTGGGAACAAACTTGGGTGGGGAATGCCCCTCTAAAGGACCAGTTTCCTTCTCTGTATGCCCTATCTGTTTTTAAAAACTTGACAGTTTCCTCTTTCATCACCCCTTCCTCTTCCAAATCTAGGTCTGATTGGAACTTGGGTCTGAGAAGGGCTATGAGAGACTCAGACCTTGACACTGTTTCGAGTCTCCTCCAAATTCTTGATAATGTATTCTTAGACCCAGCTAAGGAAGACTCTAGAATTTGGACCCACACCTTCTCTTGTGCCTCCTTTAAATTGTTAAGTCGGTCCACCAATCCTGTAACCCCCCCCCTTCCCTGTTAATGAGGTTTGGTGCAAACCAATTCCTCCTAGGGTTGGTAGTTTTGCTAGGAAGCATTTCTGGAAAGAATCAACACTGGTGATCAAATCTAAAAGAAGAAACTCAATTCTTGTTTGTCCCCTCGTTGGTGTGTTCTTTGTAAAGCTGATGGGGAGACTGGTTTCCATCTACTGATGTCTTGCCAATTTGCAAAATCTATTTGGGAGTGGGCTTTCTCTCTATTTGAGTGTACTTGGAATCCTCCATCAAATATGCAAAGTCTTTTTGCTCCTTTCTTCAGGTGGCGTATGAAAAGGGGAAGGACTATGTGGAGAGGACTAAGGGCAGCAGTCTGCTGGTCTTTATGGGAAGAAAGAAACTCCAGGATCTTCTCTGAAGAAAAGAGAAGTGTTGAAGATCTGAGGGCCCTGATCCATATAAGGGTTGTACAGTGGATGAAATCCCTAGAGCTATTCATAGACTTTACAGTGGATGACATGCTGAGGAAGTGGAATGAGATTGCTAGTTGTACCCAGACTAAAGCAGTAATGAGTGTGTCTTGGACTCCCTCACCTGTGGGGGCTTCATAAAACTAAACTTTGATGGAAGTAGCAAATGGAACCCTGGACAATCAGGGATTGGGGGTGTTTTTAGGGACGAGAATGGGGTTGTTTCTGCCATGTTCTCAGGCCCAATTGGAGTGGGTGACTCCCTTAGAGCTGAGATCCATGCAGTCTTGGAAGGAGTCCAGAAAGCTAGGGAGATGAATCTCAGAAAACTCATAATTGAAGGGGACTCGAAGGTGGTGGTAGGGTGGCTGAATAAAGACGATAGTGGTTTATGGAGATATAGCAATATGACAAGGAAATTCAGATGGTCGGTTCGAGAAATGGATGTTAAAATCAGTTGGGTAAAAAGATCAACTAATTCTTTTGCTGATGGGTTAGCTAAACAAGGGGCGGACAGGGAGTCAATGTTCTGGGCACAGTTGTAATTTAAATCTGTTTTTTTTCCTTTTTCCTTTTCTCTTTCTCTCTGTTTCATTTCTTGGGGCTCAAGCTGAAGTTGAAAGATAAGAACGTTTGTATTTCCCATTGTGATAATTAATGAATTGTGTTATTGATCAAAAAAGAATTCTATAATACATATAACACAATGGAAAAGACAAGCATCCCAAATGTCCACTTTCTGTTTTAATACTCAAATAATACAAAAATTAGGACTCCATATTAATACAAAGTTTAGTTGATGTTCCTTTCGTTGATCTCTCAGGAGGGGCTTCTAAAGACTACTGCTTTGTTGCATAAGTTGTGTTCATGAAGTATGATAGGAATTCACATGATGTTGATATCAATCAAACAAAAACAAAAAGAAAATTCAGTTAATATCAAAAGAGATGAGTATCACATATAGGGCTGCAAACGGATTGGATTGAATTGAATCAGATATAGGTAAATCCGAATTTGATTCATTTATATTCAAAATTTCGAATTTGAATTGGATCATATCCATCAGATTCTAATCAAATTTGTATTACAATCGAATATTGAATAGTGTTAATAAATTAAACTAAAAGTGATCAAAATATCATATATTTTGATGGAAGCAGCATGGGTAATCCTGGATTATCCGGAGTGGGGGGTGCTTTGAGAAATGAGAAGGGAGAGATTTTGTTGCTCTACTCAAGTCCCTTGGGAATTGGGAACTCCATCAGGGCAGAACTTTTAGCTGCTGTACAAGGGGTGCAATTTGCAAACCAGCTGGGGGTACAACACCTAATAATCGAGGGGGATTCCAAAGTGGTGGTGGGTTGGTTGAAAAATTCTGAAGAGGCTATGTGGCGATACAAGAATGAAATGAAGAAATTTAGTTGGTTGACAAGGAATATGTTGGTCACTGTACAATGGGTGGGGAGATCAGCAAATACTTTGTCAGATGTGTTAGCTAAGCAAGGGGTAAATAGGGAAGAATTATTTTGGGCTCAGTTGTGATTCTTGTTTTTCTTTCCTAGATTACTTGTAAGATTCAAGGAGGGGCTGCAGCTCGTGCCTCTCGTTGGGATGATGTATGAACTCACTCTAAAGTTGCTGCTGAATCAATAAACTTATTATTATTCATCAAAAAAAAATATCATATATTATAAGGGGACTCGTGAAGACCAAAAGATTTCAGAGGAGGGTTCAAAAGGAATGCTCTCAATAGTGTCATTGTTGGGAGTTTTGGAGTGTACTTCTAAAGTTGCAATACAGGGTGGAATTGAAATGCTACTAGAATATGGCTTTTGGTGCTCAGCAATGCAAAGATGCCAAAAGACTAATACAAAAATATGAAGATGCCAAAAGGCCGAATATATGGAAGACAATTCCGCTTTTAGTTTTCTTTTCTTTTCTTTTCTTTTTTCTTTTTTTTTTGTGGGGGGATCTGGAAGCAGCATAGCAGGTTTCTTTGGAGTTGCTTCACAGAATATCTGAGGACATCAATTCTTTTATTATGATCAGTATTGTATTAGAATAATCAAAGATACATGAGTCAGCTAGACATTCTGTCATTCTCATATCCATTCTTAGTGCTTTAATTCTTGTTTAACAATATTGTGGAGATGAGGGGCAACGGAGAATTCAGAACAGCAGGTAGGTGGCGATCTGAGCTGGTGATTAAAGCAAAGAGTTTCAGGTTCAAACAGGGTCAGTCCAAAGGTAAGAGTTTACTGAAAATTAGAGAAGGTAATAGGGCTACCAGAGGAGGCAAATTTATGGGTGAAAGGATTTGTCAATATAGCACTTAACTCCTTTAAGGAAGTGGGATGGAAAAACTCCATTGTCTTATCCAGGAAAAACTTTGAAGTGGAACTGAGAAGGAATGTGAAGGGATGGTATATTACTGTAACAGAACTTTTTGACACCAACAGAAGACAAATGGTAATGTGAGTCAGAAGGGAAGAAGGACATGGGATGGAAGGCCTTTGCCAATAAATTGCAGCTTTTTCTTGTAGCTGCAGAGAGGAAGGAGCAAGAAGAAAAGGTTTTCATCAACAGAGGTATTGAAAAACAGGGTCAAAAGGACCAGGGGGATTTTAGTAAGACTGATAAACATGAGAACACTGAGGAACAGAGTCCCCCACCCCCTGGACTTTGCGGTGGTCTGCTCAACTGAACATCGCAGAGTAATGATTGAAGCTGGGAGTGAAGAACTAGACAAAAGCCTTGGATGCAGTAGCACAGAAGATAGGAATTGATGTAGATGCAATCCTGCTACCGTTTGCAGAAAGAAAAGCAGTTCTTGATGTCAGTGAGATGGAGCTGAGCCTCAATATGGTAACTGTAGACGGAATTATGGTCCAGATCCAAACCTGTACTCCAATCTGCAACGAGGTTGAACTCAAAGAAGGTAGCACTCTGTTGAAGTTGCTAGGATTCCCTTTTAATCTGTGGAACGAACCTGTCCTTGAAAACATTGTACGAATGTTGGGAGGTGTTCTGCTGGAAATAAACCAAAGGAACCTAAATGCAGTCGAGCTTCGAGTTGCAGGAATCAAACATGAAAACCTGCCTCGTTCGTTTGAAATATGTTCCGAAGTTGCTTGGTATCGGGTATGGGTGGCTTCAGGAGTTGAAGTGTCACTGTGGCGAAGGCGAGCTGAGGTTGAAAACGATGCTGAGTTGGCAGGATGGAGAACATGCGGCTGTAGGGGAATGGAGGAGAAGATTGACTTGCAGGAGAAGATAAAGAAAGAAATGGAGCAGTCAACAGGGGAAAACCTACCGACAAGTCATCCAATTATGGAAATTAACTCAAAATTTTTTGACTCATAGAAACCGAGTGGGCAAGCTCTCTTATGCTAATGTGGCCAGAAAAAGCTGTGGCCTTGACAAGTTAAGCCGAGCCGCACTGTCTGAACCGTTTGGGGTTATGGGCAGTCTAGTTTCTGGCCCAGGTAAGAAACAACCCGACCCACATGACATGGGTCGGGGCAAGATAAGGGAGAAGAGGGAGACTATAGACGGAAACTCCTGTTTATCTTCATCTAAAATGAGATGTGTTGAAGGAAAAGGGGTGCAGCGGTGGAAA